GGGTGCACCCCGGGAGGGGGAAGGGTCCCGAAAGCGAAGGCCCTGGTCTCTCCCGGTCGGGAAAATGCCTCCTGGAGGCACCCGCGCCGCGGCCGGGAGGGGGCGAGCCTCCCCCCCCACGCCCCGTCCATGACTGGAATGCAGACTTACAGTTTTTAACTCTTCTGGCACTTTTTCTCTGTTTCGCGTCCCTTGGGCCGTGTGCGTGCGTTTTCATTTACCGCTGCGTTGTTCTGTGCCTTGCCAGAAGGAGAAAAAAGAGAAGAAGTCCAAACACCGTGACAGATCTCGAAGCAGAAAGGCTCAGACTGATGAAAGCGAGCAGTCGGAAGAGGACGATTCCCCAAAACTGAAGAAAGCGAGGAGTCGAGTTAAACAAAACGGTCATGCGAGAGAAGAAAGCCCGGAGAACGCGGGATTATCTTCCTTAAACAGTAAATCCACCCACAAAAAACAGCACAGTAATTCTAGTGAAACATCTAGTGGCGAAGGTGACAGCGAGCAGGAGCAGGTAAAACTAATGATGTGTTTAGTTACAGTGATACGTTTAACTTTCAACTCCCACATTACAACGAGCTTAAATTTAGAATGGGTTATCTTTCCTTTTTTTTTTTCCTCCCAATCAGTGGAAAGACATCTGCAAGTCTTTGGGGTTTAAAGCTACTTAAAATGTCCCTTCTGTCGATTATTTGTAAAAATTTTCAGTTATGAAGTCCTGAAGTTCTAGATCAGCACACCATGGTTTCCTCACTTTAACAGTCTGGTACTGTGGTAGCTGTTGGCAGATGGACAAGGTGCAGTGAAATGGTGCTTCAGTATGATTCACCATCGTTACATATGATTGTAATTGCCACAAATATAGTTTAATTGGCTTCTTTTTGGTATTATAAGTACTTCTTTAGCAAAATAAGACGTGGTTTTAGCTAGTGGAAAAAGTTATGTATTAATATGTTTTTATGCGTCATCTTATTAAACAGTAGTTGTTAATGTGATAAGATGGTCATTAATGTAATAAAATATTATTTTGTAGCAGTTTTGTAAGTCTTTTTAAGCCTTTCTGTAAGAATGTTTTTATTTGTCTGTTTCTGTTTGATTTAGGTTCCTTTAAAAGTGCTTGACATGAACTACGTTTTTTTTGCAGGGTAGTATTATCTTGTTGTGCCTAGGATTTGTTTTGATAAGTCTTTGTACATGTGTGTTCTGCTGTTGCTTGGTTTTGTTTCTTGTTCCGACTGATGCTTCACAAAACATCAGGGCTTCCATGGTTTCCAGGGTTAGCATTCTTTCCTCGCGCTTAGAATTTGATCACTGTGCTGTTGAAACGTGCACTACTGAGTAGGTGCTTTTGATGCTCTGCCTTGTAATGTTATTCTTTTGGGGATCAATTTCTGCATCTGTAAATCACTGTGCTGTATTAATTGGGAAGTAGGAAAAAGGCTAGATATCAAGCCCGATTCTTGCATATTACAATATAATCTGCTAGACCATTAGTAATTAGTTAAAATAGAATCTTAAAATTTAATTAAGGATTTTCAGGGTTTTAATTTGGGCATTTTGCATTTACAGGGTTATGCCATTAGATATAAAACAGTCTTAACTTACAGGTCACTTTTGTCTAAATGTGATAGTAAGTAAAAGAAAGAAGGCTCTTCCACTGCAGCTGAGATGCTGTCACTGACAAGTTGACCCTTGGGTATGGCACCAGTGCCTGTGCTGTTACCTTGAATTTTCTGATGGTTATATGATGTTGACATGGAATGTTACCTGGTTTATTGTCTACCAAACAGGAGATGACGGAAGAACAGAAAGAGGGTGCTTTCTCCAATTTTTCTATTTCGGAAGGAACCGTTCAGCTTCTTCAAGGTAAATTTCTTGGCATGATGTGACCACAGAAAGTAATGATATCTGTCATGTCTTTTGGTGCTCAGTGTATTCAGTGAGCTTTGAGATGTGCTCTGCTTGTGCGTATGCAACCACAGATGCTATGCAGAAGGCATATTGATTGCCTACTTGAAATACATCTTTGAACATAGACTTTTGCCCAGTTCAGCTTTTACAGTAGAATTTTAAATGACATAAGCTAAAAACCAAAATTAATTCTGTCCGAGAATTTTTCAATTAAAAATTATTTTAGTGTAAGTAAAGGAACACCAGTTATATTTAGTATCTTTGACATTAGTTTGTGCATGACTTAGTATGAATTAAGAGAAAAATAGAAGAGGTTTTGACGTGTCTGATTTGAAAGGAAGTTTTTCATAGATAGGTGGGGAGTATTAAATAAAGCAAGCCGCAGTGCTTAAAGGCTTTCATTAAAGGCTAGTAACTTCATCTGTCCTGGCTAGCACTATGTCTGGTGGTATGAAATGGGAGAATAAAAGGGACAGTCCCAGGGCACTCCTTACTAATGACCTCTGTGATTAAATAAATCAGTGGAGGTGATTATATAGTCCTGACTTACTTTAGAGTTGATGGAAGTTCTGCTTGGGATAACTTCCTCTGAAGGGTATGCAAGAACACTTGTAAAATGATCATACTAAGGAGGTCTGTTGAAATTGTCACAGCTCGAGGAGTGACGTACCTGTTTCCTGTGCAAGTGAAGACCTTCAACCCAGTATATTCTGGCAAAGATGTAATTGCTCAAGCACGAACTGGAACAGGGAAAACGTTCTCTTTTGCTATTCCCTTAATTGAAAAGCTTCAGGGAGACTCACAGGAAAGAAGAAGAGGCCGTTCACCAAAGGTAACTGTGCTTGTTGGAATGCTGGTTTTGTTTTGTCTTGTGTGAGCGATTCAGATTTTTAACCTGCTGGAAAAGTTCTTGAAGTTTGTGCAGGGATAAGCTAACCCACATTAAAGATCACTTAAAAGCTGTGTTCGTTGGGCTTTGCCTGCATCCTGTGCTGCTTCATACCCTCTGATCAAAAGTGAAGAGCACAATAGCTCTATCCACTTGTCAGTTCCTTTTTCTGCTTGCAGGGAGCCCAAAACTACAGGTCTTCAACGTGTTCCTGTTTAATTTTGTTCAGTCACCTTACCTGTTCAGGTCCAGTGGTTACTGGGTGCTTGTTTTTCTCCCAAATTAGTAACAGATTAGTGACTTTTTGTGATTGATAAAAGCTGTCTACTTAAATGTTGTTTAAACATATGAATAGTGGGAGGTTTTAAAAACAGACTTAGTTTTCACTGGGACCACCACCAGGTACTGAAGCTTCTGCTCCAGAGGATGCATATTCATTGTGAGCTGTCTGCATTCTGCTAGGGAATAACACGTATGTTTTATCACTAAATTTTTATGATGCCCTCCAAAACTAGGTAGGCCAAAGCTTATCGTATCTCTATTAATAGTGGAAATTTTTTTGGCAGTTTATTTCATCTTGTCACCCATCTCATAGATTACCTGAAGCTTATTCCAAAACTAATACTAGCTGTTTTATTTGCATCTGCCCATCATGTTGGCTGTCTGACTGAGAATGCTGGCTCTATATTTGGCACAGTCTTGCAAAGAAAGGAAAGCTTTCTTTGAGGAAGTCAAAAGTCTTAAAGAGATTTCAGGTCTCACTCTACCACAGTACACCACTACTTTCAGCCTGGAGAAGAGAAGGCTCCAGGGTGACCTTATAGCAGCCTTCCAGTACCTGAAGGAGGCCTACAGGAAGGATGGAGAGGGACTTTTCACAAGGGTGTGTAGTGATAGGACAAGGGCGAATGGCTGTAAACTAAAAGAGGGCAGATTTGGATTAGATATTGGGAAGAAATTCTTCACCATGAGGGTGGAGAAACACTGGAACAGGTTGCCCAGAGAAGCTGTGGCTGCCCCCTCCCTGGCAGTGATCAAGGCCAGGTTGGATGGAGCTTTGAGCAACCTGGTGTAGTGGAAGATGTCCCTGCTCATGGTAGGGGGGTTGGAAGCAGATGATCTTTAAGGTCCCTTCTAACCCTTACCATTCTATGATTCTATGATTTTAAGGTTCCTGTTGTCAAACCACTGATAACAGCTTTGAGAGCAGTACTGCAGTCACGTGTTAAAACTTAGTTAGTTAAAACTCCTAGCTAGTAGCTTGTCCATCACCTGTGGTGACGCTTTTATTTTGGAAGAGAGGATGGTTACTTGGTTGCTTCAGCGGGGATATCAGCACAGGCTCCAGAAACCCGCCAAAAAAAAAACACCAGCTTTGCAGACTGAACATATGTTTCCCTGAGTCACAGGGAAGCTGAGACAGCTGATAGCTCTTTCTTACACCTTCTTGCGGGACTGTGAAGTATTAGCGAGCATATGTAAAAAAACCTTTCATTACCAAAATCCTGCAGTCGTGTACTCAAACAGCATATGTGCATGGAGAAGAAAACTTGTAGATGAACTGTTCAAGAGCTAGAGTTAAATAAGATTTAAGTACCTCCTGTCTATCTCATTTAAAAAGAAGTTAGCCTGTCCTAAGTTAGTATGTGCTGAAGGAGATTAATGAAGTTAGGAGAGACTTACACAGTGTATTTCTCTAATATTTGCTTAGACAACAATTTAAACCAGATTTTTTTTTTTATTTTTTTTTTTAGTTATGTAAATAGTCAGACCTAAACTAGTGATTAGAAGTGTTATGGTTTCTGGTAGAAGCCATGCTGAGAAAACATCTGTTTGTCTTTCTTCTGTCTAGGTACTAGTTCTTTGTCCAACAAGAGAGCTGGCAAACCAGGTTGCCAAAGATTTCAAGGACATCACAAGAAAGCTAACAGTAGCTTGTTTCTATGGAGGAACTCCATATAATGGACAAAGTAAGTGACACTTATCACTAATAATTGAAATCTTGATTGACTGGCGTATTTAAGAAATGCGGTTGGGTCTTTCCAAACACCCACTTCTGACTCAAGAACTGGAGAGTATTCATGGGGAATTCAGTAGCTCAGTGTGTGTCTTCTTGTGGTGAGAAATAACCATAGCTTTCAATTATATTCTCGGTGTTCCCTGTCTACTTGTGTACTTTAATTTAAAGTGAAAGAGATTGTACTGTCTGTGTACAGAGCATTTGCATTTAGGTTCTTGTAAACATTTATATTTTCTTTAAAAAATGTTTAGTCTTGAGCTGTGAGTGGGTGTGGGTTTTTTGTGTGATAGGGGATATCTAGAGGGTTTGTCTTGATGGTTGTAAACAAGGCAAATGAGCAGTAATGAGAATAAGCTTTCGTCGTAATATATCTTGAAACATCAGGTATTAATTTTTTATTTTCATGCAGAACTTCAGGAAGGAGGTGATTTCAGTAATTTGGGTAGTCAAAGGTTTTTTTTTCAAATTTCCAATTAAGGTAGACAATATGGGAAGAGCTAACTGTTTCCAAAGTATGTTAAGCTGTTTGTTTGCCACTTTATTTAAGGGAGAGGGAAGGGAGATGGGAAATCTTTTTTCCTTCAGGAAGAGCAGTAGAATTTCTACCTTCCCAGTTTTGGGGTTTTTTTTCCACCCAAGTTGTCTCCACTTGTTCATAATTTGTTTTCAGTTACGTTTGTAAGGAGAGTACTTATGAATGGCTTAAGAAGCTGTTCCATTATTACTTAGCTACCATGTGTTTCTAATGTAGAGAATGCTCCCTAGTTTGCTGCTAACTTCTCTCTGCTCTTTCCTGTTTATCAGTTGATCTCATGAGAAGTGGCATTGACATTTTGGTTGGGACACCTGGTCGAATCAAAGACCATCTTCAGAGTGGCAAGCTGGACCTTACCAAGGTGAAACATGTTGTACTTGATGAAGTTGACCAGATGCTGGACATGGGATTTGCTGAGCAAGTGGAAGACATTTTACGAGTTGCATACAAGAAGGGTAATCTCAATATTTAAACAAATAGTAGGAAATATTAGTAGGAATTTAGTCTGTTGAAATTCGGGTATATTTTTCTGAAAGTTGCGAGGTGGCTTTGTTTAGAAGTGACTGAGTACTATGTATTGTAGGAATCATACTGTCAATGCAGTACATGAGGAAGTGTTGCGAAAGTAGGAATCATTCATAGCACCTTTGCAAAGCTTAAAATCCTGTCCTGATTTTGGCTGGTTTTTCCTGGTTGCTCACCACCCAATGACCGATTTGCAGTCAGTCGCTGAGCAGAGATCGTGGAACCCCGAAATCACGAATTCGCAAAATTCCCCAAAAAGTTGAAACTCTTAGACAATAGAGGATTCAAACTCATGGAAAAGAGAAGAGCAGAGAGCTTCCTGCCCCCTGGTCAACCCTGTTCGTAAACTGAGCATGACATTTATGATCTGGAATATTTCCGCTGGCCAGCTTGGCTATCTGCATGGCTGTGCTCCCTCCCAGCTCCTGCATACCTGCTCATTAACTGAATATAAGAAACTGGGAAAAGTCCTTTATTTCATAGCAACAACCCGAAACATCAGCATGTCAACATTCTTCTGGTACCAAATCCAAAACACGGCAGCCACTGGGGGGGAAATTAAATCCTTCCTAGCTGAGACCAGGACAAATCCAGTACCTAGAGATCTGTAAATCACTTTCTTTGACACCCATCTAGAAGTTGTACTTGGACTTCTTCCAGTTAAAAGGAATTAGAAGCTTTTTACCATTTTCACCACTTGAAAATAGACTGGGTTTTTGGTCATAGTAACTTTTTTCCTAATCTTGAGAATATTTAGACTTTCTAGAGTATTTTTTCTCCAGAGGTTGGGGATGCATAAATTTAAAAAGCAGAATTGCCTTCCTTATTTTATATACTGATATTTGACCTCATATTTTTAATAACTTGTATAATCAACTTGTATACATCCATAAGATGAAACATACGAAGTTTGTGAAACTGTGTTCTGTGTTTTAAGATTCTGAAGACAATCCCCAGACGCTACTGTTTTCTGCAACTTGCCCACACTGGGTCTATGATGTGGCTAAGAAATACATGAAGTCTAGATATGAACAGATTGACCTGATTGGGAAAAGAACTCAAAAGGCTGCTACAACAGTAGAAGTGAGTAATCTATCAAATGTGGAATATTTTCAGGTCTCTTCCCTTTTTCTTTATCCTACAAATGGTCATGTCATCCTAAGGTACATTATCAGGGTGATGTTGAAAGTTGTTTTGAGAATTATTTTTTGAGCATAAGGTACATTACAGCTACTCAAACTGTTTCTAGGTTTAGGGTCTGTCTCTGTTCTCACAGCATCCAGTAACCTTAGAGACATCTCAGGTAGAGTGAGTATTCAGTTATCAGTTAGTTTTGTTGGCTTTCAGAGAAAAGCAGTATCTGAATTTATCAGTTGAAAGTGAAAGGCGCACATTAACATCAACCCGGCTCTTTTAAATCACCAGAGACATCACAGTCAAATTCTGCTATTCTATGTACAGGAGGTTTTTTCAAACTTCCAGTGGTGTCTCGCCTCACTAGGCCTTTGCTTCCTATGCAGTAAATACCATAGCAAGGAGTACAATGCATATGTGCTAGAAGCCCAAATTAATTATCTTTACTTGATAAAATAAGATATTGTTTCTGCCTAAGTACTACTTAGCGCTTACTATAACAGATCAGTTGGACACATTGTAATTGTATCAGTGGGACTGAAAGAATGTTAGGCTTGTGCTTGATAAAAGCTTTTAACACACTGTGTGTATTTGTTCACTTTATCTGACGTTAAGCTGTAGTTGGTAGAACTGTGATAAAATCTTGCACCGCAGACTGTCCTCTAGAGACATGGTATAACATCTCCTGTTTTTTTTTTTTCTCTTGCTTAAAAAAGTGATTTGTAGACTGTCATCTTTTTTTTCCCTCTTACTGTAATTATTTCACTTAATGTTAGACTAATCATGGTGGACGTAAGAACCTTATGGATTTTGCATGCTCCAGGAACAAGAGTTAGCGTATTTTGCCCATCAGGAAACTGTATAACTCTTTAGTATTTCCAGATTTTAGAGTTTTGAATGTGATGCCGTGAAAAGCATTAAAAAAGAATCTTGTTTTTTTTAATATAAGCTAAACATTGGAATTCTTTTCCATAGCATTTGGCAATAGAGTGTCACTGGTCTCAGAGAGCTGCCGTTATTGGGGATGTCATTCAGGTCTACAGTGGCAGCCACGGCAGGACCATCGTCTTTTGTGAGACCAAAAAGGAGGCAAACGAACTGGCTCTGAATGCTTCAATCAAACAGGTATCTTACCATCCGTACTAAGTAACAAAAGCTGTCAGAGATGCATCAACCCTATGTTGATACCAGACCTATGCTGAGTAAGTTTTGAGGAGAGACTTTCAAGGTGGAAAAGGCAGGCTTTTGCAGGTGGTCAGATTGTTTCAAAACTGCCGAAAAGAACCTCTAAAAGAAACAAAAAACCAAAACAAACTGGTTTGAAAATTTACAGCATGATAGTCTTGAGGACTAGGCTGCACTAACAGATACTGGGCTGTAATGGATTTCTTTCTTAAAGTGAGAATTCTCATTGACATTAAATGAAGCAGTTGTGAATTAATTTTTCTGTAAGGAGGGCTGTCTTGGATTAAAAAATACTGGTAGACTTAGAGAACAGGTCATGGTACTGGAATAACAGTTTCTGAGCTGTGATGTAGTGATGCAATTTTTACGATGTGTAGTGAGACTGGCACTGCGTGCTCCTTTTTGGTGGTGGTATCACAGCAACTACTTTTTCTGTCAGTGTTTTCGTTGAAGAGATGGGTTAACTTATGTCTAGAAAGCAGTATAGCAATATGTGCTGAGGGAAAGGAGAAGCTTTTTCGTCTGCCACAACTGTGTTCAGGAGTGTTTCTCCTGCGCTCCTAGGTAACCTCACTAACAGCTAAACCTGAGCATAGAGCCTTATCCTGTGTTACTGGTGGTGTTAGTGATATCAGATCTTGCATAGGCAATGCAGAACTCTGATCTTGGCAGGTAAGAGAAGGAAATTACTTGGATGTTTCTATTTTAGCATATTAATACCCACTAACAGAGTATATAGCTTACCAGCTGACATTAATCCAAAACTGTTGGAAAAAGAGTTTTTGGATGCGGTGCTGACCTTAGCATTGTGTTAGTATTTTTTAAATGATTCTCTGTTTACATGTGGAAAACATTGTAGCTGTCTACAGGCAAGCTGTGAAATGTGGAGGGGAAAAAACAGTTTTTGTATGTTTAGTCTTCATGCTTGTTGTTGCTGTGATACAGGACTTTCAGAATGCTTGGATTAAAAAAAAAGTCTTTGAAGCTGTAGTTCGCTTTTGTTAGGACCACTTATATTTTAATCCTTTAACTGATAGTGGGGAAAATTAATATATTAAGGGGGATTAAAAAGCAACACTGTTTTGGAAAATATATCTAAATTTGTACTAAGGAGGCCTGAGAAAATTGTTGGTAACTATTTTGAAATAGCTAAGCCTTGCATAGATGGTGTGAATGGCAAGTTAGTGTATGGTTTTTCCATAGGTGACAGTAATTATAGGTGGAGATAAGACACAGGTTGTGATTCTGTTTTCCTGCCTTTGTTAAAGGTCTTTGAGGTGTGTGGATAAGAAGTACTGAGAAAATATTGTAAGACACCTAAAATACAAACTCTAGTAATTCAGTTCTTCCGTATCTTGCCATACGGTATCTATGGAATACCAAGATACTGTACCCAAAACTGGCCATAAAATAGAGCAGTGTCTTGGATTTTGGTACAGTCCTATAATAATACTGTTTTTCAGGATTGCCAGTCGTTGCATGGTGACATTCCTCAGAAGCAAAGAGAGATCACACTGAAAGGTTTTAGGAATGGTACATTTAAAGTTCTGGTTGCCACCAACGTAGCTGCCCGTGGTTTAGATATCCCTGAAGTTGACCTGGTTGTACAAAGTTCACCACCAAAGGTAGGAAATGGTTTTGTTTGGTGTCTTGTAATAAATTATGTTTTTGTTTTCAAGCAGTAAATACTGTCACCTGATAGCATTCACCACACAGCGTGTATCAACATTACATTTAAGGGTGAGAAATGTCCTGATATATAGAAGTAGTGTCTTAGAGGATTTTTTCAGACTGTGTCAGTCCCTTGTGTGTTTCGAGATGGTCTCCTTAAAGTGGCTTCTTTTAAGGCTGTTCAAAGCCTCTCCCTTCAAGGCCACGTAAGGTGATCGCCAGTCTGGAAGCAGTGGGAAGTGAAGAAAGGCTGTTTGTCTTGCAAGAATGATTCACTAAGAGGCATTTATGAGGAGGGGACCCCAACAGTGAGAATGTTAGTGAGAACATTAGCTGAGTTAAGAGGGTTTAAAAAAGACAAGATAATTTTTTGGTGAATTCACTATTAATATTTCCATAACTGTGCCCAAGCTGGTATGCAGCAGGGTGAGTGGGATTGTTAGAGGTATACACACTCAAAATGTTTGCTCATATTCTCTGTGGTGATGCGAAAACAAGACTTAGTTGACCTATGCTCATGGTTCTGCCTTTCAAACCGTGATTTTTAGAGGGTTATGGAAAAGCTTACTCATTTGATGCAAGTGAAACAATGTTTTTTAACTTAATTCTCTGATGCAGTTATTGTATATTGTTCAGACTTAGCTGTAATAGCTTCTAAGTTATGTGAATACAATGAATTGATTAAATTACAATAAATTAGGTAAGTCATAAAGCTATTTCTTTTGAAGGATGTGGAGTCCTATATCCATCGTTCTGGACGCACAGGTCGAGCTGGACGGACTGGGATCTGTATCTGTTTTTATCAGCGAAAGGAAGAACATCAGTTAAGATATGTGGAACAAAAAGCGGTAAAATACAATTTTCTTCTGATTATGAGCACTCAAATGTAATGTGTTCGGGTAGCATGTAAAATCTTCATGTTTTTTTCAACAGTTCAGTTACAGAATATAACTTATAAAGCACCAGCTGAAGTTCAGTTACCTTGCAAAGTTTGGGTATGTTGTCAGTTACGGTGGAGCAGGGAGCGTGCTGCAGATTCTCATGCCCGTGCTTTCTCAGCAAATGCCAGTAAGATTGTACCCGTGGAAATGAGAAGAAGCTAGCAGGATTTCAGTTTAGTGTTCCCCCGGCTTAACAACTGATCAGTGATTTGCATATGTATAGCTTTACTGAGAACTGTTATTCCATTTTTGCACTGTGTGCGTTGTTCCATATGGTAGTTTTCTCACCAATTAAATTTTCAGTTGGGATGAGATGGTTTAATCTTGGCACATAAAACTCAGACTTATGTTTAGAAAGGCTGTGTAACTTGTACTTGAATCCAAGTAAACCAAAGTAAAAGTCAATAATTTTGAATTTGTAGGACTTTTTTTTTCCTCTGGAATATGCCGCAATGGTCTCTATTTATTTCAGTTTAAGGTCACTGGGTCTTTTAAACTGACCTGGTACATAAAAGGCTTTTAAACCCATTTCCCTGTAAGCCTAACCTTATAATTTTCACTAGCAAAAGCTGGAAATTGAAAGGTGAAAAGCAGAAGAAAAATGATACATTTAAATGCTTGTTTCATTGGAGTCCAATACTGTTTCTTTAGAACGGAATTATTTATGGTCTGCAACATTCATCTGTATTTTGCTTTTTAAATTCTCAGGGCATTACATTCAAGCGTGTTGGAGTTCCTACTGCAACAGATATAATAAAGGCTTCCAGCAAAGATGCTATCAGGTGCGTTTGGTGACTCAAGTCCTGTTGTATATTCCCAGTTCAGAAGGGCTGTTTGGATTCCCTGTTGCCGTCTTGCTGAGCTCTCTGAGCTGATCACTATTGAAGTCCTGGACTGCTGTTTTTCTTGTATTTTATAGCCTGGTAAATACTAGTGTGTGTGTGTGTGTGTCTCTATATATATATATATAT